GTCGTGTACGTCGGCGGAGTGAAGAGCCAGAGGGTAGCTGGCCGCGATGACCGGGTTAGTGTCTGGGAAAAAGCGGTTCCAGAAATCTGGTAAGACATAAAAAGAATCTAAAAAATAAAGTGAATGAGTTCATGAGAGGGTGAGAACGTGGTGAAATCCAAAAACGTGGTCAAAACCAGACGAGGGCTTTTATTTTACGAGATGGCTTTTGTTAATCGTTGCTTGGATTTTGGGAAGGAAAAGGAGGTGGGTGGGTCGGCCGATTGGCCGGTCACCCAGTCAATCATTCGGTCATTTAGTCAGTCAGACAGACGTTCACTCGACAGTGGCCCCCGGCGGCTTTACGCGAGAACAGCGCAGGTGCGAACGTCGCTCGTGGATTCGCTTAAACAAAAACTGCACAAATACGTGCCTCCTGGGACGTATTTCGCGGTCTCCAGAAACGTCCGCTTGGCTACGTTTCCGAAATGAGCCTGGGTTGTATTTACCAGTATCACTGTATGAAAGAGGCTAGACTCATTCTGAAAACGTAACCCTATATACATTTATGTAGATCACCAGAAGTACATACAGTATGGCTGCATTTCATCTTTAAAACAAACACAATGGGGTGGCATGATCTGTTCCTTTTCACACATACCAGCTGACCGCTTACCTCCATATGGACAGCTCTACACGAGAAAAGCAGGCTTGAATGGCACTTGCAAGAGAAATTTGAGATCTCAAAAAGCTTATACAGTGCCCTTTGGTGGAATTGCAAAAAAAATAAAAAATGTAGCACCTGGGATGTATTTGGCGCTCTCCAGAAATGTATATAGCAGTGCATTTTCAGATGCTCATTTCAGAATGAGCCTAGGTTGAATACCAATTTAGTTGAAGCACTAGATTGACAAATGATATAATATCCATATATAATATAACATCCATTTTAAAATATTTTTGAATACAAACCTTAACTTTAACTTAAACATAAACTTACAAATCCAGTAATAGAGATTTGACACATGAGGCCTCAATGTGCACAGTGTTATCTTCATTTTAACTCTCAGAGCAATCAGAAAATGTATAGTTTATTTTTTTTTTTTTGTCTTCAGTCATCTGCAGTTGAGGGTCAGATCCTTATCATCCAGGATCTTTTCAACTCTTCTGGTCTAAAATAGAGTTCAGAAAAAAATATGTAAGCAATGGGAAATGCTGAAGGTTTTTTTTTTTTTTGTATAACTTAAAAACTAAGTTCTTAAAAACTAAATTAATTTCAATCAAATCTATTCACGTAACAGACACTTTATCCAAAGAGAAACACTACAGCATAAACATTTCTTGAGCAGCTGAACTAAATACATAATTTCTCCCAAGACAAAACGTCTGTCTTCATTTACCCTCATGTCGGTCCATATATGTATAACTCCAACACAGACTTATTCTGAAAACGTTGCCCTATATACATTTTTGGACATTCATTTTTATTTAGCTAGAAGTACGTATAGCTGCAATTTGTCGTTAAAACAAACTCTATGTTTAGTTTCAGCTGACTGCTTACCTTCGTTTGGACGGCTTTCCCGCTGTTACCAGTTTGTCTAGTTAGCTCGCTAACGATGTACATCTGTGGACTGTAGGATCTGTAGACGACAGGGTTCGAGTCTGGTACAGATTCAGAAATTGGGTAAGACAAAAACAGAAGCCAAAAAATAAAATGAACAGTAAACGGCAAGGTGAGAATGTGGTAAAATCTGAAAATGTGGTAAAAAATTAAGTAATGACTTTTCTTTTTCCGGATTGCTTTTTAAAACTGTCAGTAGGGTTTGGGGAAGTGGGTGGGCGGGTCAATCTGTGCTTTTGTAAACACTATTGGTTGGGTTTAGGGAAGGAGGAGGGTAGGTCAGTCGATCAGTCACACATGAGAAGAGCAGGTGCAAATGGCACTTGTGAGAGAAATTTTTGATCTGAAAAAGCATACTCAGCCACCTCTGGTGGAAAACAAAAACTGGAAAAAAAAAAAAAAAAAAGTAGCTTCTAGGACAAATTTGGCACTTTCCAGAAATGTATACAATGTGTACATTATCAGAATGAGCCTGGGTTGCATAGCTTTCTTTTTGATGAATTTTGATAAATGATTTAGGTGGAATTGCTGCAAGTCTTGGATGTCTTGGAGTCCAAAACAATGACTTTTATTCAGCAGTATTATCAAATATTTGAAGTAAAAATTGTAAAGGAAATTGTAAATTAAAAAGGTAATTTTTAAAATTAAACTACACTCAAAAATATTGTTGCTGATTGTTCAAACTACATATTTAAAATGAGCTAAATCTAAACATCTCAAGTTTTTTTAGTTTTTTGTAACTTAAATATTGTATGTTCTATCTACTTAAATTCATAAAAACAATTCAGTCATCATGTGAAGCTGGACAAAGGTAATAAATTGCAGTATATCACAGAATATTTTATGTTGTAGTTATATTGTATTGCAGCACAAGTATCATGCTAATATTGTATCGCTGTACAATGTATCACATTACAGCAGTGGGAAAACTGAAATAGTTATACAACGTTTCAGGTTCTTTCTGACTTTTGGATTTTATCCTGGGTTGCAGCATGACATAAAAAAAAATCTTTGAATTTTGACAAGTTTTAAGCATAAATATCAACCTGTAATTGGTCCATGCAGTCGGTGTGGTTAATCTTTCGCTCTCTCACAGAGAGTAAACGCTCGAGGCGAACAGCTCTTTGCACGTTAGACTGGCACGAAATCATTAACTTAATTTCCTTCTCCTGAAAAAAAAAACAAATTGGGAAAAAGGAGAGATTAGACTTTTAGGAAAAGCTTCAAGGAGGCAAATGCTCTACTGTGTGTATTCTTCTTCTAATGAATTGGGTGAGATTTATATCAACATCTTCACGCTGGCCGAGGGAGTTTTTTTTCTGAGGAAATGTTTTATATTTTATTTTTTGACTGAGTGAAAATGTTCTAAAATAAAAATCTGTACTATAAAAAATATTAAAGGGATAGTTCACCCCCTAAAAAAATAATAATTATGTCATCATTACTTTGGTCAAAACCTATTTGAGTATCTTTTTTCTGTGGAAAACAAAATAAGATTTGCAGAGTCAATGGGTGCAAGCAAACAAGCACTCTTGCAAATGATAAGGTCATTTTAAGTTTTTAAAGAAAAAGATTAATAAACACAGTTCACAGTTTTAGCTGTGACCTTCTTGAATAAAGTAAAAATTCTTTGGTCAGGCTGGGAGATGAACAGCTAAAACCAGCTTGACCAGCCAAAACCATCTATGTTTAGTTTAAACCAGGCTGGAAATGGCTGGAAACCAGCCTGGAAATGGCCAAAACCCCTCTAAAACCAGCCTGGTCTGGTTTAAGCTGGATTTTTCAGCACGGACCCCTTGGTTTCGAGTGTGGTCCTGAAGGGGCAAATCTTTGTTTGAAGGGGTGTATACCCCTTGCCTTTAGCCCTTCGCCTTCAAGCTAAAGAGAATTGTGACACCACTACCCCTTCATGAGCACGCGCAAAACAAGGGGTAGGGGTAAGGGGAAGGGCTAAGGGGTAGTACTGGGATTGGGCCTAAGTGTGGTAGTGCTAGCATCTAATTTTTATATACCACATGAACATATTTATACACAGGCCTGTATATAATCTTCATTGGTGCTGTTAAACAAATGATCGGGTTTAAAATGGTTTTTACACATGGATGTATTAAAAAAAAATGTGCATTGCATGCTGAATTTTCTTCTGTTTTTCAGCCAATTTCTTGAACGTTTCTTGAAAGTTACTTGAAATTCTCTTCCACTCCTCCATCACAACATCATGGTGGTGGTGAAAATTTGACACCTTATGCTCCTCCACCTTCTTTTTCAGAATGCCCCAGAGGTGTTCTGTGGGGTTTATGTCTGGAGACATGCTTGGCCAGTCCATCCACCTTTACCCTCAGCCTCTTTAGCAAGCCAGAGGTCATCCTGGAGGTGTGTTTGGGGTCATTATCACACTGGAACACTGCTCTGCAGTCCAGTTTCCTGAGAGAACTGCTTCAGTATGTCACAGTACATGTTAGAATTCATGTTTCCCTTAATGAAATGTAGCTCCCCAATGCCAAAGCTCCCCAATGCACTACGACCATCATGTTTAATAGTAGACAAGACACACTTGTCTTTGTTCTCCGCACCTGGTTGCTGCCACACATACTTGACACCATCTAAACCAAATGGGTTTATCTTGGTCTGAGACCACAGGACATGGTTCCAGTAATCCTGGTCCTTAGTTTGCATGTCTGCAGCAAATAGTTTGCGAGCTTTCTTGCATCGTCTTTAGAAGAGGTTTCCTTCTAGGACCACAATCATGCAGACTAATTTGATGCAGTGTGCGGCGTACGATCTGAGCACTGACAGGCTGACCTCCCATATTTTCAATCTCTGCAGCAATGCTGGAAGCACTCATCCGTCTGTTTTTCAAAGACAATCTTTGGATGTGATGCTGAGAACGTGCACTCAGCTTCTTTGGCCGACCATGGCAAGGCCTGTTCTGGGAAGAACCTGTCCTCTTAAAGCACTGAATGGTCTGGGCCACTGTGCTGCAGCACAGTTTCAGAGTGTTGGCTATCGTTTAGAGCCTAGGCCATCTTTATGTATGACAACAATTTGTTTTTTAGGTTTTCTAAGAGTTGTTTGCCATGAGGTGCAATGTTGAACTTTCAGTGGCCTGGTTGAGAGAGTGGAAGAGCTTTTATACCAAATTTAACTCACCTGCTATCTGTGGATACCCGAGACAGTGTAACACCTATGAGTTACATGACAGAGGGAAAGAAAAATTAATAATTGTGCTCAATTTTGACATTTCACTTAGGGATGTACTCACTTTTGTTGCCAGGGGTTCAGCTATTATTGGCTGTATTTGTAGTTATTTTGGGAGGACAATAATTTTACACTGCTATAAACACTTTACACTGACTACTATTAATTGTGTCGAAGAGTCATATATATATATATATATATATATATATATATATATATATATATATATATATATATATATATATATATATATATATATATATATATATATATATATATATATATATATATATATATATATATATATATATATATATATATATATATATATATATATATATATATATATATATATATATATATATATATGTGTGTGTGTGTGTGCGAGCGCGCGTGTGTGCGTGTGTGTGTGTGTGTGTGTGTGTGTGTTTGTGTGTCACTCTCACAGACAGAGAGAGAGAGACAGAGAGAGAGTGAGAGAGCGCTCGAGCGCGCGCGCGCGCGCGAGCGCGCGCGCGCGCGCGCGCGCGCGCGCGCGCG